TACATGGTGTTAAAAATTCATGGAGTTTTGTTTCACTGATCGAAACGTGCATTTTCGAGCATTTGTTTTTTTTAATCAAAGCAAACAAAACGACGGCGGGACGGTAGCCATATATTGGCACATATACGCCGAAATACTAATTTTATGGCAGCCCTGATGTGAATACCAGATAATCGATCTGTATAAGGTAATTTTATGGAACCTGAATCCTTAATCAGTTTGTGCGACTTTATAAAGATAAATATGTTCAACAGAAGAGCCTGCAATGGTCGAATGGAGTCGACTACTCACTTTGCATTTATTTAAACACGCTGATCCGGGAGGTCATTTGAGCGGAGTGGATCGTAGGACACTGAATTCGGCTTTGAATGTAAGATGAGACAGATTGGTTTGACACTTGTAATCCCATGCTTCTCTGCTCATTACCCTTTATCACATTTTCTTATTAGGACCCACTGATTCTGTCCCTACAGATCATGAAAAAAATCAATTTTCTACCCTGACATCTTATCAGCTGGTTGATGTTCGTCGAACGTTTGTTCGTTTAACCTTCACATTGCTTCATAGATGGTTTAGATAAAACTAAAATCAGCGCGAATGGCACTGACGTGCAAGTCATGTAATCTTTCACCGTGAACAAAAGGATAGCCTGTCGATGCATCAAATTTGAAGCAAGAACTTTAAAAGCCTATTATATCTGGTATCGTTTCCCTTTGAAAGTGTTATAAGAGGATTCACACTATGACCTTCATACAGATTAATTTAAGGACTAGCATTTCGACCTCATTTGGATGCCGTTGACAGTATTCTTTCCTCTGCGTTTTACGCGTTTGATTAATTTGCGAAAGTTTTCAACTAAAAAGATGCAACAAGGTATTGACTTCTCTTTCACCAAAATGATTATTTTGCCAACATTTTGCCAAATTATAATCTGGATTAGATTTTACAGAAGCTTATTTTACCAAGAAATACACTGCAGAACTTGTGGCGCGGACACTAAAAGAGAATCACCAAGAATCAAATCAACTAATACGCGATACGTTTTCGGTCAAATTAGCCTATTCCTATCGCTAATCGTAAAGCTAATTGGTAATTTTTAATTTGATTGGCCATCCTTAATAGATGAGTGGCATCCATAAGCGTCCAGTCTGCTTATTCTGAACTCTCGGTGGATATTCTTGTGTCAGCTGTAATTGAAATGCCTACCAACATAGGGTTCGGTGGTCTACTTGAGGACACCAGACAAAACTGTACCTGATTTTCTATTATGTCCAATATTTGACGTAAGAGGCCAAACTTGATGTCGAAAATCGAGACAGTATATTTTTGAAAAAAACATTCAGTATGTTCTATGCCTACCCAATGCTTCACAGAATATTTCCTCTTGCGCAGAATATATGTCGAAGCAACATGATAAGACGACATGTTTGCAAAGTTCAGAAGAATTCTACCTTACCTTATGGTTGGTTTGTTTCCCATAAATGTATCTGATTTATATTTATTTTGCGCTATATAGTGTGTTTTTTTTAGATAAAAATAATTTATCTCCAAAAGCTTAACTAAACTGAAAGTACGACGCTTTGATGTGTGTAGTTTTTCTGAAGATCTTATATTTATTGGAAGGTTATTCCAGAGGAAAGTATATGTGGAAGCGAAAAAAAGGGAGCGCTTAGATGTTGAGGACGCTGGAGGAGGTATAATCGGAGATGAATTGCGAATATTGTATGGACGACTACCAGGGGTAAGTGCTGAAATCCGAGGAAAATGTGAACTATGATTAATGCAAAAGAGGAGACAGAAACCCGCTTCCAGTCTTCGAACCCATAACAATTTTAGGTTAATTAGATGGCATTTATCTGAGTAGGAGATATTGGGATGTTCCTCAGCTAAAAGTTTTCTAGAAAAACGTCTTTGGACATTTTCAATTTTTAAACGTCTCTCTTCATTCATCAAACCAAAGAATGAACAACAATACTCGAGAATGGGAATTACAAACATGCGATAGCGCCTTAATTTAATTTCAGGAAGATAGAAATTGTAAGAAATAAAGCCCCAAATCTGGGCAGCTTTGGCCGTAATTCTGTCAGCGTTTGGCGAGAAATCAAGATTACTGGTGTAGCTTAAACCTAAATCCTTGATGGTGGTACATTTAGTCATAGGTGTGCCTCGAAAGACCATTGGCTGGGGTAGCCTATCAGGT